TCAGAGTTCATCTCAATTGTTTCCTGTTTTTCAGAGATCACTGTCATTCAATGCCTGATGTCCCGTGTCTTCAGTGCCACTGATTCATGTATTTTGTCCATTTTATAGCTGCTTCAGTAAGAGGTTAAATTCTGTCCTTGTTATTCCATCTTGACCTGGAGTTCAAGTCTTGATACATTTTGGTTCAAAATTGGTTCAAAATTTAATATTAAGTTAAAAAGCAAGTTGAAGAAGAGTATTCAAAATATGATTCCATTTGTGTTTTTTAAACAGCATAGAAATATACTCATACACATATATAATATTTCTTCAATTTGTCCATCTTACCTGAAATGTTTAACTTCAGGGAGCAAGATGGGATGGATTGGGCAAGGACATGAGACTTTTACATTTTGCATTTCTGCACTTCTTTTGTTGAAAACAAAACAAAATAAAAAATAAATAAAAACCACCACCAGACTAAAATTTCTTTAAGTAACTCCTTAGAGATTATCTCCACGTGACATTGCAGAAAAATTTTAAGTTTTAAAAATAAGCAGTACTGGCCGGGTGCGGTGGCTCACGCCTGTAATCCTAGCACCCTGGGAGGCCGAGGCGGGCGGATTGTTTGAGCTCAGGAGTTCGAAACCAGCCTGAGCAAGAGCAAGACCCCGTCTCTACTAAAAATAGAAAGAAATTAATCGGACAACTAAAAATATATAGAAAAAATTAGCCGGGCATGGTGGCACATGCCTGTAGTCCCAGCTACTTGGGAGGCTGAGGCAGGAGGATTGCTGGAGCCCAGGAGTTTGAGGTTGCTGTGAGCTAGGCTGATGCCACGGCACTCACTCTAGCCTGGGCAAAAGAGTGAGACTCTGTCTCAAAAAAAAAAATAAAAATAAGCAGTACTGGGGCCAGGCGCAGTGGCTCATGCCTATAATCCTAGCACTCTGGGAAGCCGAGGCAGGAGGATTGCTTGAGCTCAGGAGTTCAAGACCAGCCTGAGCAAGAGCGAGACTCTTGTCTCTACTAAAAATAGAAAAATTGGACAGGCATCATAGTGCGTGCCTGTAGGCCCAGCTACTCGGGAGGCTAAGACAGGAGGATCCCTTGAGCCCAGGAGTTTGAGGTTGCTGTGAGCTATAATGACACCACTGCACTCTACCCAGGGTGAGAGAGCTAGACTCTGTCTCAAAAAACAAACAAAAAACCCCAGCATTTTCTACCTTCTCTCAAATGAATATTTTACAGATTGAGTATCCCTTATCCAAAATGATTGGGACCAGAGTGTTTTGGATTTTGAATTTTTTTAAGATTTTGGGATATTCTCATACACATAATCCAAAATCTGAAATGCTCCAATGAGCATTTCCTTTGAGCATCATGTTGGTGCTCAAAAAGTTTCAGATTTTGGAGCATTTCAGATTTTGAATTTTCAGATTAGGAATACTCAACCTATATTTGTATAATTTTTTTTCAGTGCCTGATATCTAAGTGAACAGGCAAAAAAACCTTCCCTAATTGCCTCTTAAAAATGCAATCTTTGGCTTCCTAAAAATGTTAGGAATCAGAATTTACAGATGATACTTAAGAAATTAGCAAAAAAAATTATGTATTTTAAACCATACTTTTCAACTGCTAAACTTGTGGTTTTCAAGCAGCTTCCTGGCATACTGTTTTTTTTTCCTTTTCTATTTGGATGGTCTTTTAGACTCTCATGAAGGAATTGACTGAGCCAGTAGGCTAAATAAGTTTACTGACCTCCTTTCTAAAAAAATAAACTTCCATTTCCAACATAAAAATCTATCAAAATCAGAATAAGAGTCAAATATGTCAAATTCCATTATAGTGAGCTTCAAAAGATATTCCAAATTCTTCAGTCACAGATTTTATATATTCACTATTAACTGACAAATACATTTTCGTTATTCAAAGATACTTGATATAAAAAAAGGTCCTTTGGGACTCCAACTCCATTCCCAACTCTTAATTTTGCTGCGCCACCCTCCATCATGAAGAATTATGTGTAGTTCCACAAAGTGCCATGGTGTTTCAAATCTCTCTGCCTTCGCGTGGGATGTTTCCTTTACTTGCCTTCCTTTCTCTTGCTCATATGTCTACCAAGCTCCAAGTTAACCTTTGGGACATTTTGCCAGAATGTCACCCTCCTTGCACAGGTGCTGCCTGCTTGCACATTTGCAAACACCTTTACTGGAACACCCGACACGTTCAAGCCCATTGGACTGCTTTCATGCTTTGCTCCCTCACTAATTGTGGGCTCCCTGAGAACGTGGATGGTTAGTGCTGGATTCATTTTAGTATTTCCAGATGTACCTTGTACCTGTACCTGGGCCACACTATACTTATATGAAATATTGGTTAAGTAAATGAGAGACAGCCAACATTTCCCACGTGTCTCTTAAGAGAGCTAAAATTTAAAACAAAGGAGTGGCTGGTCCGAAGGTAGTGAGTTATCTCACTTGATTGTTCACAGTCAGTTACAGATTGAACTCCTTGTTCTACTACTTAACCCCCCTCCTCACTATTGCACTTGACTAGTCTTAAAAAAAAAAAAAAACAACCAAAGGAGTGCTCAGCTTCTGACACTCACTCTCCTTTTCTACTGTGCATAACACCTAAACCTGTGTCTTTCAAACTGGAAATTACAACACCATACCAGCAGTGAAATAAATTTTGCAAATAATAACCAACACTTACAAAAAACAAAATAAAATAGAGTAGAATACAATAAAATACAAAATACCGTAGTACACTATACATAGTGAGAATAGATTTGCTTCATGAATTTTTTGTTGTTGTTTCAGTTACAGACACACACAACACACACTCACACAGGTTTACTAGATCAAGGTATAAAATTTATTTCTTACTATGAGTCATGATAGAAAGTTTGAAAGCCACTGGAAAAGGAAACTACTGCTAAGAGAACAAAAGCAAGAAATATCTGAAACATTCCTTTTCCATGACAGAGACAAGCTAGTTTTTTTTTTCCTAGTCAACTGAATATCAGAAAAGCCACTGGCTTCCTCAAAAAATTTACTTTAAGCCTAGAAACTCATTATTTCTTATATATTACATAAAGGATCATAATAAGGGAACTATAACTTCTATGAAGGGTAGTTCATAGAAGTGGTGAGATCTGTTAAAGTTACAAAGGCACATGACTTTCGACTCTGCAATTATACTTCCTGCAATTTAATGCACATGCTATATGATGCATATACAATATTATTTATTACAGGTGTTTTATTTTGTTTTGTCAGTAACAAAATGTCGGAAACAACCCATATTTCATCAATTGGAAAATGGTTAAATAAATTATACTTTATGGTTTAGAAAGTGGTATTTTAGACAGCCATGGAAAATAAGGAGAAATCTCTTAAGATTCTTAAGAAAATATCTCCAGGATATATTATTCATTTATGAGAAGAGCAAGGTACACAACAATGTCTATATTAACACAATTTTTGTAAAAAAGTGGGGAAAAATATGCCCCCAAACTAATAATAGCAGTTTCCTGTGAAAATGGGAAATACCGGATAGAACCTACCATCTCAACTGACTTTATTTCTTCCAAGACTCTAAGAAAGGTAAAGTAAGAAAAGTAAATAAAGGTAAGTAATGAATAATGAGCAGGAAAAGGAAGTACAGCGGCATCACTTACCTGCCCTGCATTCTTTGCTCTGTTTTGGTAACATCACCTTGATTTCCACTTAAGGAACCACTCTTGCCCGTTCTCAGTCTATGTCTAAGTGGTGTGGACCCCATTCCCTCTGTCTTGGGCTGACTGTGCACAGCAGAGCAACCTCATGCCCACTGTATTTGGTTGACGGCTGCACCTGTGACCCAAGCAGGGTCAGTTCACGAGGATCCTCTCTGGGACTTGCTGGCCCTGGTATTTTTTTTTTTTTCTTCTTCTGGTTCAATTCGAGAAACACTCTCTCACTGGAGTTTTACGAACAGCTAGAGTGTTGACCTCTAACTCCTGCTAGTGCTCTTTTGCCACATGCAGAGAAGGCCTACCTGGGAAGGAAGGCAGACACAAAGAAAGCAAAACCAAAAGGAGAGGCAGCTTCCTGCCAACGTCGTGGCTGAACCTAACAAGCCCCTCGTGTGGTGGTTCTGCTGGTACCACAATTGCCCTAGAGGGCTTGCACAGTTTGCGGGGCTCTCAGCCCAGAGTTTCTGATGCAAAAGATCTGGAGCGGGGCTGGGGGATTTGCACTTCTATCAAGTTCCCAGTGATGCGGATGTTGCTGGTCCAGAAACCACACTTGAAGAACCACCGCCCTCGATTTTTACTTAAGCCAGTCTGAATTTTATTTCTATCCCATACAACTGAGGGAGTTTTCGATAATGTAGGCATTGAGTAGGGTACCAGACTTTGCACAGAGGAAGCAAACTCTCTGCTTATAGAGTGGCTAATTAGAAGTACAAAACCTTATAAACTTTTGGGAAAAAATTCTGGGTTATCTGTTAGGAGCATCAATTTAGCAGTCCTGTCTAAAATCAAATGGGTATATTCATGGTATTCAAATCTAAATTAACATAGAATAGTGTCATTTCCACACCTTAATAAATAAGCCATCTTCAGACAGTGACGGCAAGTTTAGTAACATCTGAATTAGAGTTACCTGATAAAACATAGGATATCCACTTAAATGTGGACATCAGATAGACAACAAATAATTTTTTTGGCACAAGTATGCCCCTATGCAGTATTTGGGACATATTTATACTAAAAAATTATTGAATTGGGCATCCTGTTTTTTTCTTTTCTTTTCTTTTCTTTTCTTGGTAAATTTGGCCATCCTAATCTGAATGGGAATGTTTTAGAAGTACATTTTTAAAGTTCAGATAAAGGGAAATGCCAAGTATTGAGGTCGCAACTCATTAAAGGTATTAATGATCTTGATTTAAGAAATATTCCCTGTCCCTCTTCCTCCCCATTCAGAGAACAACCCAAAGACATAGGAAGAAAAAAATATAAAAACGCTTACGCAGCGAATGGAAATCCACTTTTAGTAAGGGTAATGATATTAACAATGGATCCTCCATGCTCTTTCATCCAGGAGTTGTAAACTGTAGGATACAGACAAATGACAATCATACTAAATTACTAAATAGCGTCCTGACCCTCCTCTGATACCTTGTTCCAGCACATGACCTGTTTGATATGTTTTACATTTTTATTTACTTTTTTTATAAAAAGCCCTTTCATGTCAATAAGAACATATTTATACCAATATTTTGATGGCTGCATAATTCTCCATCATAGAAATATATAAAAGTTCACTCAACTAATACTTCACTCTAGAATATTTACATGGTTTTCAATTTTTCACTATTATTATTATGGCATAAAAAATATAACTTGTAGAAACTAAAATCTAAAGGCCCCATTTTTTAAAAGTAAAAACAAACAAAAAAAGAACTATAGGCCACGTATTCCTTTTTTTTTTTGGTGCAAAACAAATCATCACACTCTATTATTTCTTGTGAACAAAACATTTTCCAGAGGGCAACTTTATAATTATCACTACTGGAATCAGTGGAAACAATGAGGATAGATCAAATTTTTTAAAGTGATAATTTCTCAGAAATGTCTTCAGGTCATTGAAGATTATCTATAAGTAAATGATCTTGGGAAAACATAATTTTTAAAGAACTCTCTCACCTGGTAAGAATGACATAATGTGAATGCACAAAATGTATTTCTCTAGTTTAACTGAAAATAGGTACATCTCTATTGCTGAATTCTAATAATCTTATTCATTCTTTAAAAAATTTACATACGGTAATATTATCAGTGTTCTTTTGAATTTGCTACTTTCCAAAATTTACAAAGCTATGCCAATAACACTCTTAAAGTCTTAAGTATAATAACTTTATAAAGCCTCTTCTTTCAAAATGTCCCCTAAAGTCTCATTCTTCCTTCTTTTTAAATAGCCATCTTTGGACTATTTTACAATGTAGGGTTTTATTTGTGTATGTTACTTGTTTCGAGCCACTTCACATAACATTGGTTCTATGATCTGTGTGGGCAAGTGTGATAAGACCACGCAAGTATGTTTGACAGTCGTGTGGAAACTCAGGCCCTTTAAGGATGCAAGAAAGAACCAGGAAGTATCCATTCTTCAAGCTGGGTAAAAGCCTAACAAACATACACTGGACAGAAACAAACAATGACAACAAAATCTCTACAGCTTTGCTGAACATGGTGGTGTTTCATTAGCTCTATTTTAAGACTTTTCTGTACTTAGCCCTCTCTCTCTGAATCACTTCCTTGTTAATGATGCATATCTGGACCTTATCTTAGCTGTGTCTGTATTACAATCAGGGCCACTGCCAACACACTGGCACAGGCTGGCTCTCCATCCTCTCTGTTGTCCTTAACTGCTAAAGAACTCAGACCGCCAGTGGTAGTAACCAGATTCATGAGTTGTCTTTATATGTTGCCTTTGAAGTCTTTTCTAAAGCCTGATGTTTTTCTGTCTGGAACCTAGAAGACATTGATCTAATAAAATATTAGCTGACAATTTTTCTAGAATTATTTCAATAGATTTAAACATTTTTTTTCTTCAACACAGTTGAGTCAAAGACACTCACACTACACAAAAAAACTTGAGCATGCTTCCATCACCACTTCGTCTGAGGACAGTAAAAGCCCTTCCACTCCCATATCCATAGGAACTACCCACCCCAAGATCCTGGCACACATGGGAGAGAAAAATCTGTCCAGGAACTCTCCGAGGTCAGCGGTCACATGGAATGGGTATTTGGGGTGTGATCACCCCAAAATAGCATTTCTACCAAGCGGACATTTTTATAATATTTAACGCTTCAGTGTCCTTCATTTCTTCTTCAGTGAGAGAAAAATCAAAGGTCTGAAAGTTTTCTTTGATCCTTTCAGGATTAAAGCTTTTAAGAATGATACCCACCCATACTGGATATTGAAATGCAAAACAACTTGAGCTGACGTCTCATTCCACTTTTCCCCCAATGAGTTTAGAAGTTCATCCTTTAACGAAGGTGCAGAAGACATATTTGCACTGGTTGGATTTCTAGAGGTCTCAAAAGGGCTATATGCAATAATGACAATGTCATGTTGCTGGCAAAATTTCAAGAGTTTTGGCTGGGTGAAATATGGGTGGCATTCAACCTGGTTGCTGACTGGCTTATGTTTGAGTCCTGGCTTGTTCAAGGTTAGCTCCAGCTGCCTGCAGTTAAAATTTGCAAAATTAAAATCACCAAAGGATTTCACTAAGCCAACAACTTTGCAAGTTCCAAAGTGGCAAACAGATTTGAAATGTGATATAACCATTTGCCATTCTCATCACTAGGATAGATTTCATCTCCTGGCTTAAGGGGCCATGGGTATTTTAATCTTTCTGGAGAACTTTGAGCATCCTCTCCAGGGTTGAGTGGACCATCTCTGGGTCATGATTCATGGCCCATGGCTTTCCATACTAGAAGAGATCCTCCCTCCGCACCTTTCCTTCCACTATCTTCTCCCTGATGGCCTCCCCAACTTTGTGCTTGTTTTGGTAGATGTAAGCCCTGTCAACGTGCCAGCACCCTGTGTCAATGGCAACCTTCACCAATGTTGCACAGGCTCCCTCAGGGGTCAACTTAGGTTCTGAGTAGGTATCAAGTCCAATGATGGGAATTCTGTTCCCATAATTTAGAGATACGCAGTGATTTATAGCACTGAGGAACATCTTGGAGAGAGAATCTTAGGTTTCAGCTTTCCAAGAATGATCCCTGTATTCTTTAATTCAGTTCTGGCTAATAAAAATCATGGCTGAATCTAGACTCTGCAGACTTTTTATTAACAGTTACTAGCCAGGATCCTTGGATTGGTAAGACTGATGACTTGCGTGTGAGAAGGAGTGAAAGCACTGAGCTATAAAGCTTGGGTTAGAGACGACTAGTTGTCTCCCACTACTCATTCTCCCCTTCTTTCACAGAAATAAAATCTGTATTAAGCACATAGCCACCCACCTAAAGACTCATCCCTCCCTTACAGCTGGGTGTGATCATTTAACTAAATTCTAGCTGATGAATGGGAGTAAATGTAATAGTGCAACTTCCAGATGGTATTCCTAAAAGGAATGGGTGAGCATTACACTTTTCCCCATTCCTGCTGTCTGGAATACAGATATGATGGCAGGAACTGAAGCAGTCATCCCGAACCATGAGATGGAAACCACAGGTCAAGAAAAGTAGAGCAATAAGAAGGATTCTCAGTCCCTAATGATTATGAAACTACCATACTATCCATAGATACCTACCTGGACTTTTTAATGTGAGAGAAATAAACTGTCTTATTCAAGCCCCTGTTGTTTCTGGTTCTCTCCACTGGAGCATCCAATCCTGAATCACTATATATACAGAGCTCGATACCGCTAGTAGCTGATGGTAAAGTCTGGGGATATCTGCAAAATCTCTGACTTGTAGATATTATAGAATATAAAGCCTAGTCTATGTGGAGGTGAAGACCGTTTGGGCCAGAGTTATACTCGTTCTACATTTGTCATCATAAGAATGTCTTGAGTAGTTTTTAAGGAAACCTTTGAGCTACTCAACTTAAAGGAGTTTAATATTAACAACTTAGGAAACAAAACTTTTAATACAAAGACTATGCATGCATGCCAATTAGTTGTTAGTCAGAAAGCATGTGGACTCTGTGCTATTCTGAATTTATGAATTGGTCCTTCTAACAGACTTAACAAACGCATTTCTTAAAAACGAAGTTAAGTGTGGGAGTTTTCTCTACTTTTATGAACAACTTTATAGCTAAATCTTCGTACAGATCATTAATAATTTTCTCATGATAAATTCCTAGAAATAAAATTGTAAGATCAAAGGATATCCACATTTTATAATATTGCCAAATTACTATCCAGAGAGGTACTAATTTACATTCCTATGTTGTATGTGAGAAAATCAGGGCAGCAAATGTTAAGGCCATGGGACTTGTGAGTCTTTAATAGGATTCTCTATGATCTCTAAATAAAGACTCATTGATTTGCGAATATTGATAGCACTTGCCTGCTTTGCACATGTAGAAGGTGCCCGTCAGGTTGGTCTCAATCACAGCATACCATCCCTTTGAAGTGATGTGTTCAGCAGGGGAAAGGAACTGGCCTCCTCCATTGTTTACCAAGAAATTGATCTTACCATAAATATCTAAGGTAGATTTGACCAGACTATTCACCTAAAGAAGAACATTGAAAGTAAAAACACTAAAAGTTTAATAACCTAACTTGCCACTTGGACTGACTGCTTGCTCTAGAAGTATAACAAAGCTTGCAGTCTCTCACAGTGAACAGTAACTCCACATACTGCAATAAGTAAACATGAAGTCGGCAATGAATAAACCTAAAAATCCTACATCAATGAGTAATTTACCAGTATCCAATACCCACAGATCATAAAGCTAAAATTGTAATTTTGATGACAAGATATATCCAAGGGCCTGGATCACCCCTAAGTAGGGTAGGCCTCAGTCATATATTAATTTGTAAGCTACCAACCAAGAAGATAGCAATAAAATCAGGTTTAAATGAACATCAAGAAATGATTTTGGCTGGGCATAGTGGCTCACACCTGTAATTCCAGCACTCTGGGAGGCTGAGATGGAAGGATCACTTGAGATCATGAGTTTGAGACCAGCCTAAGCAAGAGTGAGACCCCATCTCTACTAAAAATAGAAAAAATTAGCTGGGTGTGGTGGTGTGTACCTGTAGTCCCAGCTGCTCAGGAGGCTGATGTAGGAGGATCGCTTAAGCCCAGGATTTTGAGGTTGCTGTGAGCTAGGCTGGCGCCATGGCACTCTAGCCCAGGCAACAGAGCAAGACTGTCTCAAAA